ATAAAGAATATCTCTTTGGGTTTGAGACTTTAGTCTTTGCAACTTTAGGGATCTTATCTATTCACGAACAGCTTGCAACACTCCAAAGAGAAAGGAAAATTTGAAATGGCATCATATGACCCCTTTAAAATGCTATCTAGGTAGGTAGCTCGCTAGGGTTTTGGAACAGAGCTAGTCTCACTCAACTCAACTCAATAAAGACTTTCTAGAAAATAAAAACATAACTTTGGTGAGTGAATTTACTGCTCTCCATACAGTCTTTGAGGACTCTATTATGACTTCAGCCTTTGTGCATTGGTTTTCCCTTGCTGCCTGACATCCTGTCTCTCTCACTCTTGTCTTGAGGAGAGTCACATGATGTAGCTCTACAGGCAAAGCCTACAGTCTCCAGCTGGGGCCCGTCTAAAGGCAGTAAACAACACGCAGAGAAAGAGATCTCACTGTCTCTTATAAACCACTCAATGCTCGATTATTTGATTACACAGTGAGGGATGCTAAATATTGCCTTCTAAGAACAGAGCCTCAGTATGTTTAAATGCAGCCACATTAAACACTAAGTGCCCTAGGGAAAAGGTTTGCATTGTTTACGCTGTGGTTTTATTTCAGGGATGTACAATATAATTGTTTATGCTAGTAAATCACAGCAAAAGTTACAATAAATCAACTTTATCATTGTCAAAATAAATAATTTAATACAATTCCAAACTAGTATCAAATTAAAAATGAACTTTTAATATATTTTAAAATCATGTATTTTTCCCAGGGTCTGCATTGCATCTATTCCAACCAAGTATTTCGGAATTAATCTTTTAAGTGAACAATACAGTCCTGTTTACAACCATGACTCATATTTTCCATTCAAGCCTCTCCCTTGTAGCAGAGAGACGTGAGTGCTACCTTCAACGACTGACTGCAACATGAGTAAACAGCCTTACAATGCAGGCTTTAAAGGACATATTATTGGTTAGATGAACTTATTTAAGATACATGAACCTAACGCACTTACACTGGAGTCTATGGGAGTTTATCAATGTGAAAAAAATACAGACGACGACCACAATTAAAGGCATAATCATGAAACCTACAGGAAGAGTTACTGAATGAAACAGTGAATGAATCTGAATCTGATTCAGATGACTTGAATCAATGTTCCATCAATTAGCTTGTAACTTTGGACGAACATTTAAAAACAATCAAAGTGCAATATAAAATCTGCAAACTCTAATGTAGCCTACAGGAAGGTTTAGTGAACAAATCAGTGAACGAATCTGAATGAGCTTCTTGGTGGAACTGATTCAGAAGATTTGAGCTAGTAGTAAAAATCTAGCTTCTATTTTTGGATAAGCAATTACAAAAATAATTTCAAAGAGTGTAATAACGCAGCCTACAAGAAAGGTTATTAAACGAATTCATGAATGAATGTGAATGAGTATTTTTGGTGAACTGATTCAGAATATCTGAGTCAGAAGTAACAATCTAGCCTCTGTTTTTGAATCAGCAATTCTGAAAATACTTTAAAAGTGTGTAATAATAGGGCCTTTCGCACCGCGGGAACCTTTTCATAGTACCAGAACTAACTGTGGAACTACCCACTTTTTGCGTACCGGAAAGGTTACTGAATGAATCATTAAATTAATCTAAATGAGCTTTTTTGGTGAAATGATTTGAATCATTACTAAAATGTAGAGACTATTTTTAAATCAACAATAAAATATATGCTTAAAATGTTTAATAGTGCAGGCTACAGGAAGTGTTACTGAATTAATCATTGAATGAATCTGTTTTTTTTTTTTAAAGACAGATTTAAAAGTAGAATATTCAGATTCAGAAGTCATCGAAAGTAGAAATCCTTATAGCTGACACTCTTAAAAAATAGCTCCATTCATGCAAACTATTAGGGCTACACGATTAATCGAATGCGATTGTCATGCGCATTTTGTAATGCCGGTTCTGTAATCAGCAGGAGCTGTTTGCATAGCTTCTCAGTGAACTATGGCTCTGTGAAGTAAATGCTGCTCCATCTGAAAGCATGTGAAAATACCACATTTAATAACATATTTTTACTCCAAACTCACTTCATAACGTCAGTCGAGTGTTTGAAATAAATCCTTCTGTGAGATGATGTGGCTTCATACACAGAATAAGGCACGCAACATATTTCATAGTATTTAAGCAGTGATAAAGGCATTGCATTATAAATATACTTTATTTTAATGAAAATTATAATAATAAGAACTCAGATAAACCATATATTGCCGTAGTTGTGTGTTTATTAGTCGCGTTGAATCAATGAAAGCAGTTGAATCTTCTGTTTATTCAGCTGCAGTGATAGGCATTTTCTGGGTTTCGTCTGCGAGGCGTATTTGGAGTTTGAGCGCGAGAGCGCCCTCTGGCCTTTGGATGGAGATTTACTGCTGATCACAGAACCGTGCTTCACTGAAAGATACGCATGACAATCGCAGCTTCTGTCGAATCGCGATCTCGATTCCATTTCGATTTATTGTGCAGCCCTACCAACTATATTTGGATCCTTTCACTCTTTTTAAGGTAACTTGAATTTAATGAATGTGACCCTGGTGATGGATCAATCATCAACATCCTGTGGTAAATCTGTACAAGATTAACACCTCCCAAACACACCCTAGCCACTAACTAACTCTTGAACTTAATGGACTTAGATAGACCCACAATCGAGGAGATTATCGGGGCTCTGCGTGCACCCTATTTTGTGAGTAAATGGCTAATCCACATCACCACTCAGGCTTGCCGTCTGCGCTGCAGGATCTGACTCTAGCAGTCTGGGCTTCCTCCTTCCCACACTAAACTGGAGAGAAAGGTCAAATGTTGGACGGCGGAAAGCATGCTCGCATGGGAGAGACAAATGTTGGCTTTGTCTGTGTGCTACATGACTTCCTGTCAGTGAGATCTAGCATCTTGTACCTTTTCATTGAGTTCAGAATGTCCTAATACTTCATGTCTGATCTCTATGTGGGGTAAAATGTATGACAGAGTGAGATGGGCGTTCTCATTGTTCACATGGATGCTAAAACACTGAATGGGACTTGAACGTTACCTGAACACTCTTCTGCAGCTTCTGATGGTTCAGTAGAGACTGTGACATCTGGAGATCCCGAGGCCATGATGTCACAATCACTGTTGAGACAAAAAAAAAAAAAAAAAAAAAAACTACCTTAGCATCATGTAAAAAAAAATCTATTTTTTTATCCACATTTGTAGTTGTGAGCTAGAATGAAAAACTCAATCTCATAACCTACACATGTAAAACTTCTGACTTATTTTTGTTTTTTAATTTTCATGAAACCAACATGGCCTTCTTTCGTTTGTGTAAGGCGCAGTCAGTTTAGAAAGTCTACCACTGCTCGGAGAATCTTTGCAACCAAAATCCAGCAATTCAACAGGAATCTAGAAAGCTGCTTGGTTCAAAACTTTGACTTCGGTGAGAGCAGTGCTTTACACATCGCAACACTATTGACAATTGACAATATACTTTTTTTTTTTACCAGCAAAATTTAGGCAAAATGAATGTGACTACACCTTAACAGAAATGTTGTTGAGCTGCAAATGTTTTTTGTGTGGCAAACAGACCAGAACATCATTTGATTGATAACACAAAATGAAATGTCTTGATATGCCATATTCGATTATAGAACTTTTATGTTTTTTTTTTTTTTAAAGTAAACAGCATCAGTCCCCATTCATTTTCCTCATTTGGTTAAATTTCTTCTTCTCTGGGAGTGGAAAGACATGAGAGTGAGTAAATGATGACATCATTTAGGTGAACAATTGCTTTAAATAAAAGCATTTGATGTGTCACTTGTTCTTTGAAGTACCTTTCTGGGTTCATTTCTCACTTTATTAGGCATCTTGAGTTGGCTAAATTGTTCTTTAATGCATAATACTTATTGACAGCACTTTTGGTTCTAACCGGAACCTTTACTTATAAGATTATAAAACTAACATTTATTAATCTACTTTCTTTTCTCTTTTGATTTATTCAGTTTTTCTTTATGAATTCTGTTGTAATAAAAATAAATAAACTTAAAAATGTAATGTCATTTTAATGCTGTACATCTTTATTTTTAGTGTTTTTTTAAGCATTTAAATAAGAATTATTGGAAGTTTTAGATCCACTGATCTTCGATGTTTTTCACCATGACTTCACAGCAAGCTTTCAGCTATTATTAAATGTCAAATAATTGAAATAATTCAAATAATGAATCTTAATAATAAACAGAAAATAATATAAATAATAACAAAATATAAATATATTTAAAAATATAATATAAAATATAAATAATAACAAAAATAATGAACAGAGACTGTTTAGGTCTGCCTTATAAAGTATGTTTGTCTATACTGTCCTTCATTAGAGCGTGTCCACACCCCTGTCAGAGGGTTTGTAACACCCAAGGACGAACAGGAGGCGTTGGTGATAAGCCAATGCAGACTCATTTAGATTACAACACTGGAGCCGAGTCACTCCAGTGGATCCACTGTATCTGAAGTAGCAGACCTGCTGATACTAGCAGCCCAAAACAGATTCCAGACCAGCTGAGGCCTCAGCATTTGTCCTGATGAGTGACAAACAGCCTAATCCTGGATCAGACTCTCCTCTGGAACAACTCCAGCTCTCAAGGAGGAAACTCTCAAACAGTATCTATGACAGACAACTGCAGTTCCAGGCCGGAGGAATGGCCAGACAGGATGTGGAGGCAATTTGCAGTCTAGTTTGACAAGGATTATTCCAGTTTAAAATAATCCTCATGATTGTTTGACCGGTTCACTTCTAGCAGCTATTACAATGACCTAAGTCAAGTAATTTTCAAAGCCTATCGTTTTAATTTTCTCCATAGAAAGGATTTGTTTAATATATTGCATGCCACATAGTTTCAGTTTCATTAAAATAACCATGCATTGTCCTAATTTAGCTGTGGCACAAATTATTGCACATGGGATGTGTAAGTATTTATTGCTACTCATCCATCTATTAATCCATACACTCATGTAAGCAACACATCTGGCATTCTGTCATCACTCCCACCCTCACTTGTACCACTTCCTGTACTCTACTCATCCCACCATCAACTTCCTGTGAGGGTAACATTCTGCTACATTCTTTCAACAACATAACAATGGAGGAAAATCCCAAATATTTTTTACTCAAAACCAGGGGCGGATTTAGTGAATTGGGGGCCCCAGGCAAAATATAGGAATGGGGCCCTATACATTTTCACACATTTTCCTAGATCAACCTTGAGGTTCCTTTTTTGTTGTGATGCTTGCTGCTGCACAATGGTGCCCCATAGTTGTGTCCAATGTTTCTACATTTTCATGTACATGTTATAATGGATTTCTTTCATGTTGTAGGGGGGGCGGGGGGACCAAATGATCAGTGAGAGCAGAACGAATGTGTCACACGTATTAAACTCAACAAAATGGTAAAATACATATATCAAGAGCATGCTCACAGATGAGAACAAAACAGCGTTGGATGAAGTGGATTAGAGCCCTGCACGGGTCTCAAATAGGCCCTAGCCCGTCTTTTTCCCCTTTTCCCAAAAAAAGCTTATACTACTGTTTCAGCTATTAAAATAGTTCAGTTTTGTATGTAATGGAAAAGTGATTATATTTCATTTAGTTTTTTTTATAAAGTAAATTTAGAAAAACATTTGGAGCATTTTTTGTTCGATAATATGTACGTTTTTTTTAAGTAACGGCCAGCGGCAGACAGTGAATTGATCATAGCCTATATGTTTGATCAATTTAGCCTTCTCAAATCATCACGAATAAAATCTATAGATATAAAACAGTTCAAGCATATCACATATGTGCACTGTTAGACGCATATCCAATCGTTTGTGCGGAGAGTTGAAGCTAAAGCGTGCTCGTCAGCACATGGAGGCGCCAGCGCCATCACTTGCATTTTTTTCTAACAGTGGAAACAACTTAATACGCAGTCATTTTTGCTCATAAAGGTAAGAGTAATACATCATTCTAAACTGTAAAGGGTCTAGTTTTATTTGTGTGCACTCACAATATCAACAAAACGTTATGCTTTTATAAAATAAAGAAAACAAACGCTTTCTGCCGTCTCAGTCTTGAGCAGGAGCGCTTCACAATGATGAACCTAAATTCAGCGAATTGCCTCCCAGACATGATAAAAATATATAGAAAGCTTTAAATTACTACTTTAAAACGAAGTAATTCAAATAGAAAATAGAAACTATTTCATGATATAATCCGTGCATTTCTCTCTAAAGGCAAATCCAATGAGGAGATGGCGAGTCATTTTTTTCATCACCATAATTGATGGATATCTAAAATATAAAAATAAGGAAAAGCCTAAAACAGGCCCGATTATAATTTGCGTTTTATTTTATAATTCCGTACAATTAAAAAAATAAAACACAAATTATAATGGCATATATGTAAAACTTTGTCCTATAATTGTATAGCTGCTTTTTTCAGATTTTTATGTTGCTCTGTTCTGAATACCTGAAAATTTAAAGGATTTGCTGCAACGCAATTTTGTATATGTGAATTATTTATTAGCCTATTTTTTTTACCCATGCAGCAAATGCTTTAAAAACTGCTTTAAAATTACTTTATTGTATTCCAGATGCTTTTATAGTACTTTTCACTCTAAATTTTACGGGTAGCTTGAATGTAAATATTGTCATGAATTTGTTGTATTCCCATTTGTAAAACAAATGAATTGTTGCAGGCTAACCCGATCGTGCGTAGTGCGTAGTATAGCATGATTTTCTGCTTCTATTTGGCGTAATATTTCTATGCAGAAATTGACTTTGGCATGCAAAATACTGATAAATTCATAATTAATGGCATGACTGGTTCAGTTGACAAAAATACCGGACACAAAGGCCTATAATAACTGCTGAAATGTTTGCGGGGCAAATCTCAGCACTGACTCGGACGGTTGTCGTGGTAATAAACACCGTAAACAGCAACCGTTCGCGTGTCAGCGCTTAATGCGCATATCCTATGTGAAAAGCATTTTAGGGGGCCCTTGGCTTTTGGGGGCCCAAGGCGGTCGCCTACCTTTGCCTAATGGGTAAGTCCGCCCCTGCTCAAAACTCCACAGGGTTACAGAACAATGTACTAAAGTACATCCAGAAGAGCAAAATTAGTAAAACTCAAGTCATCAGTGATTTCTATCTGGCTTAAACCACCAACAAGTCTGCCAAACATTTAATTAACAACGACACAGAGCAGCTGAGCCAAATATCATTCATATTCATAACCAACAGCAATGCAAAAAGAGGCTATTTCAAGCACAATCAACATTCTCTTGGTCTCTTCTTCTTCTGGTTATTTTTCCACAAAAAAAATATTAGGCAGCACGACTGTTTTCAACATTGATAACATTAAGAAATGTTTCTCGTACAGCAAATCAGCAAATAAGAATGATTCTGAAGGATCATGTGACACTAAAGACTGGAGTAATGATGCTGAACATTCAGCTTTGAATCACAGGAATAATATTTCACAATATTACTGTTTTTACTGTATTTTTGATCAAACAAATGCAACCTTGGTGAGCTCACCGACATCAAACGTTTGTATGGCAGTGTATCTAGCGACCATAACATTATAGACTTACGACTGTTGGGCTCATTCGACTTGTGCCAGTTAGCAACGCTTCCCAGAAACCATCCACAGCACCCTAGAAACCACATAGCAACATACAAAAACCAGACTCAGAACACCTTAACAATCTGCATAGCAACACCTGGTTCTGCAGAGGCAAGCACTCCTCCCATTTCTTTCCTTGCAGTTTACACATGAAGCCTATTCAGCGGACTGAGACCGTTCTTGTTTGAGCTGAACTGCGTGCTGAACATCACATGAGAGCAGATAACAACAGTCAACTGATGAGAAACAATCCTCCTTACCATTTCATGCAAGTACTATCTGTCCTCCACTGCATAACAGAGACTAGATTTGCACTTTCTTACACACTGGTGCTTAACAGCGTTGTGCAGATTTGTTCCAGAGGTTAGAGGGGCTGGTGTGACATCAGAGCACATGGATGACCCGTACTCGATGTCATCAGATAGCGCTCATTCATTTCCTCTGTTCCTCTCAGGGGAAGGGGATATAAAGTCTGCTTCACAGATTCACAGACGAGTGATTCACAGATTTGGCATATGAAAGAACGAGACAAGAAAAACCACAGATACAAAGAACAGTCACGGCTAAAGCATAAACACACACACACACACAAACACACCATAAAGCACTAATGATGATGAGGATATTCAGAGGAATGATAAATGCATACAGTCATACATAGGGTCATTTTGTGCAGTTATTTCCTAAGGGTGCGATTATGAAAGTTATGCGAGTCATGTGACACCATCTCTCTGTCTCCTTTAAAACATTTGGGTGTTTAAATGATTGTTTCAGGACGTTTTTTCCCCCTTATTTTTTTCACAAAGGATTGTAATTTAGTTTGAGAAAGTACAATATATCTTTACTGTTATTTTTTCAAATTCCAGAAACTCTTTTGACCCCTTTCAGGTCAGCATTGTGTGGCCTGTGTCAAGCACTAGATGAAGGACCCCCTGGGATTGTTCACACAGCTGGTCTTGTGTCTACACCTCTCCTTCACAGACAGTTTTAGGTCACAAAGAAAACAACCCTTACAGCAAAGTACTGTGGCAGTACCATGGTACAGTCATACGTTGGAAGTGAATTGTTACTATACTGTACTGGTCTGCAAAGAATGGTACAATCCAAGTTACTTTGGTTACTTTTAGTTTGTGAAAGTCTCTAAAGAAGTAAACATGCTGCATTATCAAGAGAGTTCTGCAACTCATTCGATATTTTACAATTAACTGAACCGGCAAGTCCATCTACTAAAGGTGAAGTGTGTAATACTTTGATGTTTAAACACGTTCTCCATTCCAGTGCAATTTCAACTATTTGTAAGCCATCTGTAGGCCGATTCCCCAGAAAAGTGTAAACACATTTGCTATCAAACCATTGCTCTGTTTGTCAGCAACACCGACTCAACCAATAGCGTGCGGGATTTGGGGCGGGACTCTCTGTTTGTCTGGCCAATGGTAGAAAGGTTACTTGTTTAGAAAACCTGCTGTCATTGCGTCCAAAGTCGCGTACTGAGTAGGTACTACATTTGACTTTGAGCTTACTTTGGGACCGTTATAAAAGTATGTTCTATATAGTATGAATATAGGTAGTATGAACGATATTCGGACGTACTATGTCCGCCATATTGTTTCTTTCACTTGACATACCAGAGTCAGTTGCGTCGCTTCACTGCCATTCACAAATCCTCTCCCGTGGCCTCATGGGATAGTAAAGCATCCATCAACTGTGCACTTCAGAATCCAGGTGGAAGTAGTATGTCATCCGTGTACTTTTCGCCTGCTGTTTTTCGAATATTATGAATTCGGACATACTACTTTTTTGGCATACTGTTTTTTGCATACTATATAGTAGGGAAGTATTCGATTTCGGACACAGCGAATCATTTTGCATTTATGCATGGTGGCGCTACTGACACAGACATTACACACTTCATCTTTAAGTATACCGTAAGAAATTAATTGGTGAATTTTTGCAGGCAAGTCCAGTCATTTCAATGGGAATCCACACGATTAGGAAAATCATGCGAGAGCGAATGATTTCCCTAAGCAGGTTTCACAACAGGCTCAAAATGGTTATGCAGATTCCCTGCATTAAACAACAGAAAGCTGCTTGGTTTAAAAGTGATTTCTGTATGAACTGTGCTTCATGCATCACTATGGACAATAGACAACTGACCTTTTTTGCTCACAATGTTTTGCCAAAATGTGCATTTACCCACCTAATTTAAAGACATCTGAGAGCTGTGGCAGATATTTAGCTTGTAATGACTTTCATTTCAATTTGCTCCATACATTAAACTATGGTTTTAATTCTGAAAACTTGTAGTATAGTTTTCCCATTTACACTGACTGCTTCTATAATACTGTCATGACTCCATTTTAGAAGCTCAGCAGTGTGGATCAGCAGAAAAGCAAGCGCAGCCTGGATGCAAAGCATCTTCTTTTGCCTTCCAAGGATGAAAGTCAGTCATACATGGTTTGGAATGACATAAGGATGAGTAAACGATGACAGAATTTACATTTTATGTGAGCTATTGCTTAACAGTATATCAAGCAAACCAAACTGGCCCCTTTCCCAAGAGCCTCTTCTGACTAAAAAGTGTCTTCTTATCATTACCCAGTGCATGACTATGATAGCAGAGAGGCCGTTCAGAGCTCTACAGGGACTAATGGACTGACCTTGGACTGCCTCCAATGCCAGAGTTCTGCGATGACGTCCGACGTTTCATGTCTTAACTTTTGGACGTGGGGAGGAAGGGAGGAATAAGAGAGAGAGAGAAAGAAAGAGTAAGAGTTAGTGGAGAAAGTGTTCAAGCAGAAGATATTAGCAAGCATGCTAGCCGTGTTAGCTTCAAACATTGTGTTTTTAGAGAACAAACCAAAAAAGAAAAGCTTTAGGGAGTTATCAAACAGGAAACTGTAATACATTTATGCTAAACGTGCTTTCATTAAACAAAAAAGGACTTTAAATGCACAGTGTAATTTACGACAGCAGGTAAGGGTGAAGAATAATCACTCATTTTCTGTTTTTAGTGAATTTAGCAAAAATAGTGTAAAATAAGGGTAAAATTATTAAATTTTGTGATGGGATACATCAATATTAGTTCTGGCCTATAATGATAGTCCATTTCCACACTATTTTGAATAAATATATTAAAAATAAAACACTTAAAACTACAAGTGAATTTAGGCATCACAGCATTTTAATGTACAATATGAAAAATGTTTATTTTGAGACTCGCTAAAGATTACATTAAGTGAAATTATTATGTTAAGTGTTAGTTTGGGAAGTGAATTAAAGGGAAATTATTATCTTAGGTAATATTAACAAAGGTAAACATTATTGGCATAATAACATTATACAAAGGTATTGCGGTATTTTAAAAATTAATATCATAACAAAAATAAACACCGGTATTCGGTATGAACCGGTAGACCGCCCAGCACTAGTCACTTTCCCTCACTGTTAAGCTCTGAAGCACTGAAAAGTCTATGTGCTTAACAGAATTGACAGTCCATCAGACAATTGTCAATTCTGTTACTTTACAATTCTGTTACTTAAAGGGTCAACTCTGTTTATGAGTGAACTATTTTCACAAAAAAACAATAACATTGTTGTTTAAAATCTAATAAACATTATTGATTTATTTTTGCACCCTTATAATATTTCAACAACATTTCTTTTTTTAACTGGATATTGTATATAATACATTTTCAGAAGAAAAATATTTGCTCCAAGTGGACGGTTCTGTGAAAACATAGGTATTTTTTTTTATTTTAAAGGTATGCATAGGTGAAATATTATCCCAGTTTCAAGTGATGGAATGTAAGGACTGTTTGTCTAATGAAACAAGAAGGATTTTTCCTGTTATAATTTATTGTTATTTCTACACATTGGCTAATTTGTCCGTAACAGAGTTGACAAACAATACCATAAAGACATCTGTTTTATCATTAAAAGTAAAAAAAAGGAAGTAACTTGTGTTTGGCAAGCACTGAATTATTAAAATTAAATATGTTTTCAATAAGATACTGAAAAAAAAAATCTGTTAGTGAAAAGTTTTTTTTCTTAACTTTCTGCAATGCCAAATGTATCTCCAATTATAGAATCACCCATATATATATCGTCAGCTATCTATGGTCACACTGAGTAAAACAGTATAAAGATTACACGAGTCAACATATAAGCATCTATTGGTGCAGCTGTGCTAGGTAGTCATAAAGCTATGCTAAGATTAACTGTAAGTTACAACCAAAATGATGATTAGTTATTAGAGTGCCAACCCTCATCATGCAACATCCTGACAATCAGAGTCATCTTATGCAATGCTGCATTAGACCGGAGCTTCTCCACAGGCCTCGATGGGGAACCACACATCAACAACGACTTTAATGTAGTGATGGACTCCCTCAAGTCACACCATCTGCAGAGTACCTCAGAAAATGTCAAAATGATGTTCTCTTCTCAGGCTGAAAGGACAGCTGTGCTTTCTCCAGACATTAGTTGAAGTGGACGACATATCTGGCGAGAATGTAAATAAGGCAGAGAGTCTGTTCATTATGTCACAGGCCCTGTGGCCCTGTGGTCCACTGTGAACCAGTGCAGCTTGCCAAAAGGGCACATCAAGTAATAAAGTGGCAAACGAGTGTCTATTTAAGTTGTCCTTTCCTACTAATTCTACCGTTTGGGGTCAGTAAATGTCTCTGACTAAGACAGCATTTATTTTGTCAAAAATAATATTGTGAAAATATTTTTACAATTAAACTAACAGTTTTCTAAGTAGGGCTGTCGCGGTGAGGGAATTTCCCTTGCGGTAATTTTGAGTGGCTCAATAGCTCGCGGTATGCGGTATTATCGCCATACACACACACACAACGCGTTCTAGACGGGCTGTCAGTCAATGCAGTTACAGTGTTGCGCCACAAGGTGGTGGAAAGGGACTGTCTTTGAGTGAGTCTTTAAACCGTTCATTCAACTCAGCATGGTACACATTATGTTATCATTACTAGCTTGTTTAATATTCAGTCCACATGCATGAAGTGTAAAACGAGAAGGGCATAACCTTACGAAAAAAGAAAACACGCAAAAATCGCGGTTGCTGCGGTTCTTGCATTCCTCTGCGGTTTGCTCTTCAATAGCGCGGTATTGCGATATTGCGGTTATCGCGACAGCCCTATTTCTAAGTGAATGTTTGGATGCATTATTAGAAGTTTTACTCTGCACATTATTTAGGCCGAGGGACCTGGAGTAAACTACGCTATAATGAGTTTATTAAACCAGCTGCAGTCACCATTCGGCTCAATCAGTTGACAACATTAGCTAAAGTGGTGACCATCCCCATCTCATTCCCTGAATTATATTTCAAGTGAAAGAACATCCTAAAACCTTTACTGGACATAATATGGCTCCCTTAACAATGAGGTCTAATTCTATTGCTTGCCGGTTTTTTTTTATGTGAGACAGTACCAAAATGAAAGCAATCTTTTGTGACTTTCTGGATGTTCATTTACCATGCAATTTAGCATTTAAACAGCCACCACACCTTCATAATAGAACTGATAAGCAAGTTATTTTGGTTAGATTCTAACATCTAGCAAAATTATTGGTTTTAAATTATATATAGTTCCTCATGAATAGGAAATTAACCTTTGGGAATCACATTACACATCCAAAATAGGATGTTGTACACATTTTTATAAAGCACAACAGTGAAGTTACTAAGGGGCCGTTTACACGACAACGTTTTCAGCCAAAAACGGTAAACTTTTTATGCGTTTTGACTGTTCGTTTACACGACAACGGCATTTTGGGGACTGAAAACGCGTGTAAACACCCAATATGGGAATATTTGAAAATGGTGATGTCATGCGTGTGCGTAGTACGTGTTAGGTATGTAGCCATGCGCAGTACGTGTCGATTTTAAAGGCAAACGCGAACAACATACACAACAATGGCGGAGTACATGGTACTGTTGTTGCTGCTTAAGAGTTTGCTAACGCTTCTTCAGCAAAGTGTGGATTTACTTCACCAATATTACAACCAACAGCGGAGATGCATCATATCCAACATATAATCATCACTTCTCTACAGGTACTGTTTACTAACAAGGTGACAGCGCCAACTACTGGCCGGGCATACGTAATACAGCGTTTTTGGCCGTTTTCACGGATATGTGTAAACGCGAATCGTTTTGAAAACTTTGTCGTGGATACGTAAAACTTTTTAAAAACGCAAGGGAAAAACTTTTCAACACGATCGTTGTCTTGTAAACGTAGCCTTAGACAGACTTTATATCTTACACAAAATGTGGGAGCTTTTTGTGACTAAAACTGCACAGCTGTATATTTAAAGTACCCTATGATTACAGACACAGAACATTTATCGAGCCCTGAATTTTCTATAAAATATTGTTTTTCTTTCCATTCGGGCAAATATTTAAGGCAATATTACCTCATGCGGTGTTTGGAAGCACTTTGCTGTTAGTACTGATTGATAGATAAAAAAAAAATAATAATCTAAGTAGTTAGCAGGGGAAGCATAAATCCAGATGTACTATAAAGCCATCTGTACTTCTGTGGTTCTTCTGAACTTTAACCACAATGTACAAAACTCTTTTAGCCGTGGCTGAAGCAGTGGAGAAAGAGCAGAGCATTCTGGCTATCTGATACCGGATGATTCATTATTAGAGAATCCATGCGTAAACCAAAGCAGAAACATTTTTAAAGATTAAAGGCGAGTGGGGTAAGATATGCCACCTTTACCTAAAAAGAAAGGGAAAGTTAAATGCATAATTATATGTCAGGAATAGAAAAGAGTTTCAAATAAAGTTGACGCACTGACACATCTTACCCCACTCTCCACAATATGCAAATGGATCACACTATAATAAAACAGTCTCTCACTGACTTGAGACTCCTTTGAGAATACATGTCTTAAAAGATAGCAGAAGCCTGCTAAAAACAACAACCTCGTCAACTGCAGAAGATTTTGAGGAAGAGTTTGGAAGAGTTTGAGCTCAACATCAACAAGCTCAGAGAAAACGCAGAGGTCAAAATTTGGACTCTTATTTCATGGGATGGCTCAAGTTTCTTGCCAAATAGATACACCGTGTAGATACAAACAAAGCAGCACTCTCACAGGAGCGCAAGGACCATAAATGGTGTGAAAAATGGAGGTAGGTCAGAATGTAAGGATGAAGCTGGTTCCCGTCCAAACCTTTTGTTTTTAGTCTCTTTGCAAAGGCACATTTTATTTGACATTTATACCTGAATGAGGAACATTATGTTTCAATAGTCCAAACTCTCTTATTGTACATTCATCTCATCTCTGGGGGGCTGGACTAGGAGAATAAACAATAAAGGCAAATTCTGAGAAAAGAAATGATAAACAAAACAGTCTCTTTTCTAAACTTGCAAATAATCTGGATGAAACCCAATGGTAAACAACATGTTCTCTCAGCGGCCTTGGAATACCAACCAGTGGTGAAGAGTAGGGTCTTGTTGGACATGTCATGAGACCATTAGATAGAAGAGCTTTTAAAGAGACTCGAATTGAAAGAGCTCAGCTATTACAGCCCATTCACAGAGAGCACAACAGAAACCTACAGTACAAAAGACTTCAACTAAAGTATGTACTCAATACTCTCAGAAAAAAAGGTACAAAAGCTGTCAATGTGACAGTACCCTTTTACCCCTAAAGGTGCATTTTAGTACCTTAAAGGTTCATATTTGTACCTAAAGTGTACGTATTTGTACCTAAATGGTACATTTTAGTACATTTTGAAAAAGTACTGCCCCAGTGACAGCATTTGAATGTGAAAGTGCATATCAAAACGACCATTTTCACCAGTGCGCCGCTAATAAATAACAAGCCACTAAAATGCAACCTCAAGCATGTTAACCACATTGCCGAAACCATTTTAGAACTATAACAGAAATCATTTTAAATTAAGTTTTCGCATAAACAAAAGGCTCCAACTTACTTTTTGTCCCCAAAGCAGCTGTAAAACTGAGCCATTGTGTCAAAGTGCACCCCAAAAGCAGAGCTTCCTTAATGCATCCTTTGTACAAATCTGTTCAAGGTCCAAAAGTGAATCCTCACACCAGTTTTGTCAAATCACCAACATCTTCTTGTTCATATCTTCACATGGGGTGTTCATAAAAGAGTAGAAAGCTCATGAGAGTGTGTATCCTTCACAGGGAAGGTACATGTGTGCTCCAGTAGCCCGTCTCTCAGGACTGAGCATGCTCTCTTGGATTCCCCCCTCCTTTCCTTCTCCAACCCCCGTCACCTAATGCAGAGATGCAGCTACTATAGTCTTACCCCAGTGGCTTACCGCCGACAGGCTGGGCGTCATTTGATAATTAGATGAGGCAGCTCCCTGAGGAGATACCACCTTTGTGTTTAAAGGGGGGCTCATTCTGGCCCATGAAAGGGGGTTGGAAAGCCAGTACGTTGACGGCCAACACAGTTTGAATAAATCATCAGCAACTTTCTCACCCACTATTTAGTCAGTTAGTAGAAACTGTTAGTGGAAACTTAACACTTATACTGCTCAGAATGACTTACACCCTTAAAAATAAAGGTTCTTTATTGGCATCAATAGTTCCATGAAGAACCTTTAACATCATTTCCATCTCGCAAAATGTTCTTCAGTGTTCTTCTAAACCCAAAATAGTTCTTCTATGTCATCACTGTGAAAGTCTCTTTTAGAACCTTTATTTTTAAATGAACGTGGACCAAAGTGTTGCTGGTTCATGCATGCAAATAAAAGTACTTGTTTACTTTAGGAGAAGAGAGTCTGTTGAAGAGCCCGATTCAGGGTTCTAGGCGGCAAATTATGCTATTTCACTCTGACGGATGTGACAGGACGTTTGTCATATTCCCTATTTTCTTTAGAAAATGTTTTGTGCACACAACCTCAAACCATAAGTCTCCACTACATACAAACGTTTTGCCTTCCTGACAGTTTTGAATATTTTCCTCCCCCCCCCCAGGCAAATCGTGTAGCAGTATCAGGCAAAAGTGTAAACAAAGCTTTGTGCCGGCCGGATCTTTTTCTTAAACACAAACAATAGCAAACACTGGAATTCGAAAAAGTATTTTCTTCCATTTGGGGAGATTCATGCTTCATACTAAACGAAAAATAGAAAAATATAATATAATAATATTCTATATTGGAAAAAATAGATCAATTTAGGCAGACACAGACGTGAAGTTCACACTCAGTGATAGCTGTCAAACCCCTTTATTTTTACCTCACACATATGGTGAACAGAGCCTCTGTGGAGTTGCACTGCAGGTGAACGTCTTACAGTCCCAGTCCTCTTTCTCAAAGCTGGGTGGAATGTCAGTCTGTTTTCTTTATGAAAAAGCCAGGTTGGTATTTCCTGAGCCCTTTTTTGCTCTGCCGCTGAAGGAACCCATATGTAGGCTATTTCAGTTTCTTAAGAGGGACACAACGGTGAGCATTATCAGTAGATTCATTCATGCAGTCATTGCATGTGGTTGCTTGATAATCAGCAAAACATTCGCCTTCAAACGTCCTTGACTTCCTTCTAAATTGTTTTCTTCATATTTGGGGGCTAAATACTTTTGGAAAGCTGACACGTCCTGTCATGCCACATGACTTGCCACAATTGCAACAATATTAATATTATAATTTTGTTTTTAATAATTATACATATTTTATGATAATTGTAGTTGACGGACTACATGGACTACATTTTAAAAATTCACTTGTTTTGATTTACACGACCATTTAAAATGACCTAGTTAATGCAAAAAGACAATTTAAATTTATAAGAAAGTTAAGACATACACTTTGGCTTATACACTACTGTTTAAAAGTTTGGGGTCAGTAAGACTTTTCTTTTGTTTAAAGATTAAAATTAATACGTTTATTCATTTAAATGAGACATATTATGCCCCTTTTTACAATATTTAATATAAGTCTCTGGTGTCCCAAGAATGTGTCTGTGAAGTTTCAGCTCAAAATACTCCACAGAAAATTTATTTTGAGTGGAAGCAGAAACAGGCTGTTTTTCAGGCCTTGCTCTTTAAATGCAAATGAGCTGCTGCTCCCCGCCCCCTTTTCCAGAATAGAGCTGTGCCATTACAGTTTGGACCCGCTAAAAACATCTGTTTTGGTTCTGATTATCATGTTTATCGTGCTGAAATCATGCGTTTTAAACCATATGAGTTGAAACTTCTTATATGCGATTTTCTGAGCGCACACAACCGAAGCACACGGACAGAAAGCGGCTGTCACAGCATGCGAGTACTGAACTAAGTTCTCATTCACACACAAGTTTACGTTAAAAAAACACGAGTTACAAAAATGTCTATGAAGGTAAACAGCTGGGAAATAAATCGCATGTTTATTTTAGATCTGTGTGGCAGCAGCAATATACAGTAAATAAATCAATAAATCCACTGCTCTCGTCTCCTCTGAGGCTGGGACTGGTGTTCTGTGCTCATCTGTGCAGCCAAAGACAGAACAGTTAGTATGTTTTGCTCAAACTTTCGCCATGACATTAGAACTGGTACACCGTTGTCGCTTGCAAAATCAAAATGACGGCGCCGTGGGTGGAAACTTACAGATTAAGGGGCGGTAATATTATAATGAGATCCCTTTACCACGTCACCAAAGGAGCGAAATCTGACGCGCTCCTTTTTTCAGACGCTTGCAGAAAAAGGCTTACCAAAACAAAGTTACTGGGTTAATCTTTTTCACACTTTTTTACACGGAAGTAAAGGCCTTTACAATGTTACTGTAATATTAACAAAAAAAATTTCAAATGAATGCTGTTCTTTTCTGAAAAATGTATCACAGTTTCCGCAAAAATATTAAGCAGCACTGTTTTCAACATGAACAATAATAATAATACATGTTTTTGAGCAGCAAATCATCATATTAGAATGATTTCTGAAGGATCATGTGACACTGAAGACTGGATTAATGATGCTGAAAATGCAGCTTTGATCACAGCAATAAATTACATTTGAAAATATATTACAATAGAAGACAGTTATTTTAAATTGTAATAATATTTCACAATATTACTGTTTTTACTGTATTTTTGATCAAATAAATGCAGTCTTGGTGAGCATAAGAGACTTCTTTCAAAAACATTAAAAAAAAAATCTTACCAATATGCATATACATTTATACATTCAATATACATTTATGTGAGTTTGAACCCAAAACCATTATTTAAACATTTACAGTATGCATTTGGCAGACACTTGCACTCAAGGTATACAGGTTTTGCATTCCCTTGGAGTTGAACCCATGACCTTGGTGTTGCTTGCATATTGCATAATGGCAAAAAAAATAAACCTGTTTTTGTTGTTCCTGATCTTGATTTTGTCTGATATGATACACATGCTTGTGCTCATAAGTAAATGATCACAGGTGACAGAGCTGTAATATAAACCATCACTCAATCAGATCAATCGTCTAAAGCACAGAATCAGCCAGAACAATTCTGTTAACATTAGGGCTGCACGATTAATCGCATGCGATATTTAACGCGCAGCACTCTACACACTCTAATGAAGGCCATGTATGCCAAACTGTAAATAACCCAAGAAATGATACCCCTCGGCTCAGAGGCCCGACAAGCGGGACCGTGCCGATTGAGATGGTTCGAAATAACCCGAATATACAAGTTCCTCTAATCATGCAAAGTCTCCTGACAAAAAACAAAGCCATGAGCAGGCCAAGCTCTCCATGTGTCCGTTAAGTCCTTTACTCTTACAATAAAAAAAGCATCCAGCTGGGTCCACACAGCTTGACCAATGAACACAGCCCATTCAGATGCTCTTTCCCTCTATCTGTGACCAGTTAACTTTGTATCCCTGTTTTCCAGGCCCTTTAAATCTCAGTGTGTGGTGTTTCTGGAGGGAGGTTTCCGAATGGAGTATCTCAGGAGTTTAATGAGATGATAATATTGAAATAATTGCACCCTGGGTTTTACGATGCTTTTCTTTCCAAAGTTCCTTTACAGACACAACAGGACTATTAACGTGGCTCATCATCAGAAGATACTTCACAGGACAACAGGCGCTGTTAACACATGCTCGGAGGGGTTTAATTAACTAATAAAACTACAGTTTAGCTGTTTGACTGTTTACACAACTCATGAGAAATACACAGAATGTTAATGAGTGTCGGAATTTAAATACAGATGTTGTGGGAAGTGCCATCTATTCAACAAGGTACCAAATTAATTTTTCTTTTTTTCTTTGTAAAAATTTGTAATTAAATATAAATAATCTGACATTTATATATTTATATTTTTTTAGGGTCCTGTACCTGGTCACCATTTATAAAAAAAAAATTTTTTAATAATCTATATGAAGTGTTATTTTAGTATCACTGAGATACTATTATAATTTTTATTAATATTTTGAAATATATTTATATATTTCTGTTTTAATTTGAAAGTTTTGGTAATTTGGTTTTTATCATTTTGTTTTCTTATATGTCTATATCATTTTTATTTATTTATATTTCGGTTTTAGTTTTATTTTAATACATAAAGGTAAACTAAATAGAAATAAGAAATCTCACATTTAAAAAAAAAAAAAGTTTTAGTTAACCTGCCTTTATGTCTTCACTAGTTTATTTTTTATAGCTTTGCGATGTGATGCATTTAAATGAAGTCTCTCGATTAATATGAGGTCATAAAACGGCATTAAAATATAAAAGAATTGGCAACAAGAAGAACAGTCAATTCAAATATTCTAAGATGAATTATAACATGTCGCACAACAGTAGCCTACTCTAAAACTGCTTGAAATTTCATCTCTAATTCTCCAAATACTTTCCAATTCTTTGTTCTGAACATATGGACAAGGACATTGATCATGAGGATGTACTGTCTGTACAGTAATCAACAAACACACTACTGAGAGCAAGAAAAGGGTCATGTGATTTTCTCTGAGCAGCAGGGTGATGCCAGGACCAGGCGCCACAGAAAATGTTGACATTTAACACAGAGAGGGCAGTTCCCCTAAAGAATAGAAAAACCTGCTAGAATACACTTATGTTTCTTGTAACAGTTTATTCGTACGGGCCTTGTGAAGTCTAAAATGTGTATAAATGTATATATGAGTGTATATATATATATATATATATATATATATATATATATATGTATTAGTGGTGTCACACACACACACATATATATATATATATATATATATATTTAGCCTATCTTATTTTTTCTTATATCTTACATTAGCCTATTAAAACAATACAAGAAAACAAATATATTACGTA